GTCTGTGTTTTATACTTGAAGCTGACCTATACCTTACTTCACCAGTCAGAACTTTCCTTCACTTTCCCCATTCCCAATGCATTTCCCAGAGCTAACATTTTTCCTCCTCTGCTATTGCTTTCCACAGACTCTCACAGAAGCCCAACAATATTCCATTCCATATGTCAAAATATGAGATAACAAGAAAACAGTTTGGTTTGTTGTTCTTTTCCCAGAGCTTCCTAAGGACGCCCCGGTTTGCCATGTCTGGCGGGAACTTAGCCACTGACCTGCAAACTAAAGCCTTGGGATAAGGAGACCACATCATATGCAAGGCCTTGAGCAGGCCATTACATCACTGTTCCAACAGACACTGCAGAGTTAAGGCCACCATCCTGCAGGCCAAGGTTTAAGTAGACAGACCCACCAGGCTTGCTGGCACCCAATAAAAGCAAGAAGAACCCTGGGCCCACTGGCCTCATTTATTTGTGGATCAAGAATATGTACAAGCAACTAACAAAGTAAGCCTGAGGCCTGAACTTCAGGTAAGCAGAAGACATTAATTGCAAGTAATTTCTTAATGCCCTCTCCAAGCCTTCATGAATGATAGCTATTTTGCAAATTAAATCTTATAGGTGTTTAAAGGGAAAAAAGTAGACAGGTTAATCACTGGATTACATGCCAATTGTTACTTCTTTTTTTTTTTGCACCACTATATTCTATAATTAAGTTTGAAACCAAGAAATCTTCCCTAGAATATACACAAGTTTAATCAAAAGACAAATATTCTATGTCTAAATAAAATATAATTCCAAATATCATGAAAATACATAATAATTAGCAATGAGATCTTCCAAAAGAGATCTCTAAATAAAAGACTGCTATTTCCAGGATATAGTTGGACAGTAAAAGAAATGCTTATTATAATACAACATTTTCCTCTTGAATATCTGTGATTATTTCAATTATTTGGAAAGCATCCTTTGCAAATGTTTCTGTCTATATAATCCTCTTTTTTGAAATAAACATTCATATCCACATCTGTGTATATCCTTGTAAGGAACTTCTCCATGGTCTACTGGGAATAGCAATGTTGTAATATGAAGATGTACTTCTATTTATTATAGAATGGGGAAGCAAAATGTTGATGCTCCTAGAAATTTGTGTTTATTCCTAAGTAATCAATGCTATTCATCTTTAGAACATTACAAACATTACAAAAATAATCATCCTTTTCCTTGCCTATGTTGGCCATTTTGCTTGAGTTTTTGACTACCTGTTTGAGTTCTGGATATTAGTTTAGACAACAGGATCTTTCCTATGCAAATGGAAAAAGATCAAATACAGTCTAGGTGGAAATGAGTATTTGTGGAATTGTTACTCTCATTTTAGAGAGATAATAGTTACAAAGTATATCTTCAACACCTATATTGTGCAAAGTAAAATTAGTGTCAAAAGATTTGGGCAGTTCTGCATCTCTTGCAAAACTGCTAAGGCTTTGCAACTTTCTAACTCCTAGGAAGGCTAACCAGTGTGCTAAAAGTGTTCTTTGGTCTTTCTGTACCTTAAAAAGGTACAGGTACAGCAGGTCATAAAAATGTCTCAAAAGGGGCCTGAGAAAAGAATAAGTCCCCTGAAAATCCTCTGGTGTCTCAAATGATGAGATTGATATCCCATTGTTCACCCAATGCTCATACATTTCATAAGCTTTCCCCCTCCACAGACTCCGGTTCAAAACTTTTGAGCCAGCAAGTGAGCCTTATGGAAATCAGGACTCTGCCAAATATATTATGCATTACCACTATACATTTCTCAGAGCAACATCCTGAAATGTGTAAACTTGTAGTTAGTTAGATTCCTTATGAATACAGCTGTGACTCATAGGTCTCTCCCAGTAGTTTTTAGCAGAATCAGTTTGCAAAATGCCTATGTACTTGAATCCAAATGACTCTTAAGCAGAAATTTAAATTCAGTTTAAGAAATACATCCCACATACTATAAGGAGTTAACCTGGCTTCCATTGCTCATACTTACTTCAAAGTGCCAGGGTTTGTGAGAGATGTGACATTTTCAGCCTATTCCATTCAACAGAAGAAAGGCTTCAGAAAGAAATAAAATTTAAAGAGTTCATTTCAATGGATCTTCATTTTGAGTTGGACTATTTTTTGTCCTTGGTTTTTGTTGTTGTTGTTGTTCACTTGTTTTTGTGTGTGTTTTTGTTTTTGTTTTTGTTATTGTTGTTGTTTGTAGCAAAGCAATGTCTGCCTCTCTACCCAAATCTCTGTGATAGGAAAGTGCAGTACCACAGGCACAGCTGTCCCATGTATATTCACAAATGCAGGTGTTGCTTAGACACAAAAGAGAGGTCAGTGGAATGCTACTCCTAATTAGCTACCTTTTCTACTAGGATTTTCCTTTGTAAAGTTATGCATGCAATTGGGGTTCAACTTAGAGACCATTTTTAGAACCCAGCATGCTATCCAGCAACAAATGGCTGCCATTACAAGCATAATTTGCAGCATAGTTAATTTTACACGGTTTAAAAAATCTACACTATACCTAAAATAAAATTCTATTCTGCACAGGTACCATTTACTCTATAATCTATCTAGTTTCAATATTTAAAACTACAAAAGTTAACAAGGAAAAAAGGCTTGTTATAGAGAAGAATGTTTCCTTTTTTCCAAGATTAAGACCACATCTATAATGGTGAAGACTAAGGACTTTGTTAAATGATACAAGAAAAGAAGTAACTATTTGTTATTGTCTTCAGTGGGAAACACTTTGGAGCTTATTACTGCAGTTCTTAGTAATGGCAGAGTAGAGGGTGATCTAATATGAGCCATTAAGAAATCTAAGCCTTAAATAAAATGACCACAAAATACTATCAGTTAACAGGAATGCAGCAGCTGTACATGTTTATTGTAATACAATATAATATTGCTTCTGAGATGGGCACTCATAAAATTAAAAAATAAAGAATCCAGCAGGTGATGTGACAAGCTTATTTCTCTATTTGAAAAGAAAATGAACAGGCATAGCATGGCAAGTGCTGGAAGATGACAGAGAAGACAGGTATTGTATGTGCACTAATGGGCGACAGAAAAGCAGGCAGCCACCGGCTTAACAGAAAACATTTGAAACTCCTAGTTTCTGCAAAAGGCCAAAGACCTACCCCAGTAGCTCCTGGCAGAAAGTAAAATTTGACGTCCCTCCTCCCACTGTTGATTTTACCTATTGTAAGTATTCCAAATACTATGTCTTAACCTGGCTCCCAGTTGTCCATTTTTCAAAAGTACGTACTATGGAAGTTTAAATTCAGTTTGACCTTAAACTTCATAATGACATTTTAAAGTCTACATATTATATCATATTCTAGACTGTCTTTCCAAATGGTATGAAGTGCCTTTCTTCAAAAGCTTACTACAAAGTAAAATCATTTTGCAAATTGTAATATGTACTGACAGGGTTGTGACAAATGTATCTTGCTTGATTTTATTCACTACAGGCAGCCCATCAAGATTCAGACCCTTAACCCTTCCGTATTATAGAAAGACAAAAAGCCCAGTTCTATAGCCATCTTCTGTGATGGAATGCAAACTATTTTGTTGTGGTAAGGAGGGCTTTGAAGAAGAAAGCTCTAGACCCACTCCTGGGATTGTTAGCCCTGTGTTCAGCATTCAAAATGGAAGCCTCAGGGTCTTGGAGATCATTTTAATCCCCCCATATTAAAACAAAACGTGTCTCTCTTGTGTCACTTTTCCCAACCTCTCCCCAGCCTCACTGGTCCTTCCTAAGGGAAAGTGAGCGATTGCCTGTCCTCAAAGAATTCCAGAAACCATTTCCTTACTTGCCTCCCTGTTCCGGTGAAGATTATGAGTCTAATTCTTTGAGACTGCTACTAAAATTCCACCCCGCTGAATTCTGCAGCCTAATTCTTTTGGCATTATGGTTTTTGGCAGGATGAATGTGACCCAAATTTGCAGGAAATAATTTACTGCAACAGTGCTTCTTGCAAAGTAGTGAGACCATGATTAGCATTTTCAAGACCGCAAATATGAGACTTTAAAATAGTAAGTGTTTACTTCATGAAAAGATAAATTTGGATCTTGTATTATTGAAATGGAAATGCTTAGCAAAATGTGCATGGATTTATGAATTAAGGATGTTTTACAGATCAATGAAAAGTAACCAAGCACTAGCAATTTACTTTAGTATTTGGTGGCAAAATGCTATAACAGTTCTTTGAGATCTAAAAATTTAGGGGTGTATGTGTGGCATGTGTGTGTGTGTGCGTGTGTGTGTCTGTGTCTGTGTGCACGTGTGTGTGACTGAAAAACAGCATACATCCCACTTTTCACCAACGGTGACTAATGCTATTCAAAAAGGACATTTTCAGAGCTAGGATAACTTAAAACAAAAGAACAATTCTATAATTATGGCTGTTCCTGTGTTTACCCACCAGGCTTCTCACAAATGTCTAGCCGTGTAGTATATGTTAGCTTACATCTTCATAATGTCCCCATTATTCGAGATTTGATTTTTTTTTTAAATTTGGCATTTTTCTTAACTAAAATTTGTGAGGCAGGCTTTGGAAAGAGCAGCAGCAATATTCCCACTGAGAACAAGAATTAAACGTAGGGGGAATAAAGCTTTCTAACCAGGCTTCTGCTGCTAGTGTTTTGGCTCTTACAAGACAGATCTGCCACTTCGCTCCCGTGGGCTCTTAAGTGTGCCCTGTCCTGCTGGAAAGACATCTCTGATAGGAGCATAGCTGTGATCCTGGTGACCTCGCCGGATTCACTCACCCTCTCAGAATTCAAACACAAGCCAAGAGAAGCAGAACAGGTTACTCGTTAGAAAAGGATTCCTTAATTCCAAAAGGTTAAGCATGACAGAGGAGGAAACCGACAGAACAAGAGGACAAATGCACACGTGAAAGGGCCCAGCATCTCAGGCTAGTGGCTATGAGGCGCATGCGCACGCGGCAGGTGGCCACGTGGCCTCTAAGTTGGGCTTACCTTGTTCCTTTTGAAGTAGGCTCGCCGGCAGGCCGCAAAGCACTTCTCGCTGCAGAAGCTTTTCACCTCGCTCCCCATACTCAGGGAATAGCGCTTGATTCCCACTTTCTGGCACCAGGCACACATTATTTGTACATTTGACACATCATCTTCTATAATAAAAGTATAAGAAAAATGTTCATATCAGAAGCAAACATCCCTTTAAACTTAGACACATCCTGAATCTCAGAGCTCCCAGGGTCTGATTGAAGTTTCCAGACCTCACCATTTTTTAGACGAAATGGATAGCCAGCTCTTTGGGGAAAGAGGGGCTGGAGAAGGCCAAGTTCTTTTTCATTTGTTTCTGTCCTTTCTCACACTTTTAACTTTCTTTCCTTTTTTCCTTCCTTGGTTCCTTCCTTCCCTCCCTCGTTTACTTATTTACTTAGGTTCCTACGATTTAAAAACAAAACAAACAAACAAAAACACAGCATGACTGCAAAGCTACGAGTGATCCTAGGATGTCTCAGCCTAGTTTCAATGGGCGTGATTAAACATGCCCAGGAATAAAGCAATGCAACTTGTAAAATAAATGGCCCTTTTCTTCAAAGGGCCTGCTGAAGTTCTACCAGATCTGTACCAGGTGGGACAGTCTCTCAAGTGCTAACCTACAAACTCATGTGAATCTTGACAGCGGGCTGGCTTTCACTGTGGCACATTCCCTACTGCTATATAGTGATATGGAAAGCAGTTTACTCTTACAATATCATGATTCCCCAGACATGTGTGTAGACTAAGACAGAAATTTGTGAGTGGCTGATTCTGGTCATTGAAAGGGGCAAGCCTGGCTTCCTGAGCAGTCTCCTTCTTCCAGTGTTGGTATCTACAGGGAGAACAGGCCTGATTTCAATTCCCCAGCATGTGATGTGGTTCCAGGTCTCTGAGTGGAGGGATAGTAATGAGAATGAGGGCGTCAGATCATTCTCAGCCAGACTGAGGGTTTTTCCCAGCTAGTATGCAAAGTGATTTTAGATGGGAAGATAATATTTCTAATATTTAAAGTATTGCCTGTCATTTCCTCTGTACGCAAGGACAACAAATTTAATAGGCACAATGATATCAGACTCATGACCATAATATCATACTCATTACTATTTAAAACAAAAGTGGGTTTTCAAAGAAAATCAGTTAATAAAATACATTGAGTAAATCGACTGCAGGCAGTAAGGAGTTATGACAAAATTGGGATGGTAATGTTTAAATGGCTGGAGTTAGGGAAGCATTGGCCTCCTTTAGGAGAAAGAAGTATTTTCTTGCTGTCTTCTGGGGATGTGCTGTATCTTTAGTGTTCTCTAGCCTCTGTGTGTGTGTGTGTGTGTGTGTGTGTGTGTGTGTGTGTGTGTGTGTGCGTGTGCGCGCGTGCGCGCGCGTGTACGCATGTGGGTGTGTGCACATGCATGTGTTGCCACTATTAGTCACAGCTTTTCTTCCTTTACAGATTTGTTTTTGTTCTAATCCAGATTCATGCTCCAGACATGAATGGTAATCACAAAATTCCCAACAAGCTCTGATTTAGTGTTGCCTGATTTCTGAATAAATCCCCCAAAGACTAATTGCTAAGCAAGGCCTGGTCCATGAGCTGTTGACATATTCATGGTTCATAGAGTCTGTCATGCAATCACTCCATTTCCAGGGAAAAGATTTGGTTTGAGGCAGTATGGTCATCAGCCTGCAAAATTAGAAGCAAACTAATTTGTAATGCAGTGATACGGCTCTTTCCTCCTGAGTAGCACCACACAGAACTATGTGCAGCACTTTCTTTACATTAGTGGAATATATACTGTCATTTTAATGGCTTTTCCTATTTCATAAATTATACATTTTGATCTATTATTATCCAATAACTGTAAAATTACCTTCAATATTAGGTATTTTTATGACATAACTTCCTTTAAACAAAGTCATTATAGGGATTCAAATATAAAGCAATTACTGTATTAATAACCGTTGCAATGAAAGAAAGCTTTTATTTATATTTTGTATGGTTTCTAGTACAGAACCTATAGATATTTTACATGATATTGCCAAAGCTCTAATACTCTATCTTAGAGTATGTTGGAGTTTACCTTAAATCAGATTAGAAACAGCATAGTTTAAAATAATTGTCCATCATTACTAAACTAACTAGCCCTAACAGTTTCTGTTATTTGCTTTAAAATCTTAAGTTCCTAAAAAAAAAAGATGATAAAGTAAAACTCTCCCAAATGATCCAGTGGCAGTAACCTTGACTCTGGTGAAATCTGTTAAAAAAAATTATGGGGAAAATCATTTGGTCTCACAGTTTAATAAGGCCCCACTTCCCAAGGGACCATAGACAACCTGTATTAAATTCTCCCCGTCGATTCTTCCTTTAGAGTCTGGCTGGGGAAACAAAACATGAGATGTTTCTGGTCCTAGATGGTTTGCCTATGAAAGACTAAAACTGAGATGAGAAAGGGTAGAAACAAAGTTCTCAGAAGGCCTGGGGGGTGGACACTTGGGCCAAACGGCATCTCTTAGCTTCTCAAGCTCTATGCCATCATCACCAGGCCACTTGTCACTTTTTTAAAAGATGCAAGGATACTTTCTTACAACAGTCCTAATAAGTAAACGGAACAAATGAAGAAAAAAGGAGTAGAATTTTAAAGCACAACAGTCATATAAATCATTCTTACTGCAAAGGAGCAATATGGAAAGATGTGGTAAAAGAATTGTGTACTTTAGTTGGTGAAAGTCTTAAAAGGACAGCACAAATCAGCATTCCCATCCATTTTTTCATACAGTTCTGGTTCATACAGACAAGCATTTTGGAAAACTTCATTACATTTCTCCTTTTCTGCCATCAAACTTATCAATAGCTAATGCCTCCCCCCCCCAAAAAAAACAGGTTGATAAATTGAGTATTTCAAAAGTTCAAGAGAAAGCATTTTCAGGTATCTCATATGTTCTAGTTTTATAAGTCATTCATATTAATATTATACTTAAGAAACTAGAAGATAATTGTGATCATCTAAACCTTTTATATGGTCAAATTCTGTCAGCCACCAAAACACAACTCAAATTCTGCCACTGGGTAAGGCAGAGTACCCCATATTTTAATATTACTGTCCCTAGAAAAGTAAACTTTTCATAAAAAATTAAAGCCAAAGGAGTAAGATCAACTACATCTTCTCTTATTCTTTTTTTTTTTTTTTGGTCAGTCGTGGGGTCTGAACTCTGGGCCTGAACTCTGGGCCTGGGCGCTGTCCCTCAGCTCTTCAGCTCAAGGCTAGCACTCTACCACTTGAGCCACAGCACCACTTCCGGCTTTTTTTTTTTTTTTTTTTTTTGCTTTATGTGGTGCTGAGGAATCGAACCCAGGGCCTCATGCATGCAAGGCAAGCACTCTACCAATGAGCCACCTTCCCAGCCCCATCTTCTCTTATTCTTAACTGAAACCTGGTAATAATATGCATGCCTCTTACTGGCAATATAGAAAACCCTGGCAATTTAGCTTTTCAAACTTGATGTGCTGATCTACTATCTTTGCTTAGGCTAAAGGTCTATGCCATTGCAACCTTCAGATTATCTCAAGAAGGACATACAGTTTTACATTATATCATCTTATGGCCTGTATATTTTTCATACTGAATGTAACAACAAATGAAAAATATTTATATCATTAAATAGCATTCCCAAATCCATTAACATAATACAACAAAATTTCCATATGCTATGATATAAATATGCACCAGTCAAAATATGCATGTTTCAATTAATCATGTAAAGTTTGTACCACTTCTTTAGGATTTAATTAAGCAGAATTTTTAGAGCATTTTCTTTCTACTGCAATGTTCAAAGAACTACAGAATATTTTTCTATTTTATATTGCAGAAGGAAAGGTCTAGATTAATTACTCTGAAATGAAATCAAAATTGTGTTTATTATAGAATAGAGATCAAGTATTTCTGATTTGTCTTGCTGAAGGTGCCTGAGAAACTGTCTTATCTGGTGAATTTTTAAAATAAGGATGGCTATTGGTCAGTGATTTTGGAGCATTTGAATAGCATCTATAAACATACAACTTATTTGACCACAGCCCCCAAAATATCAGGAAAGCCTTAATGGATCTGAAGCAATTAAATTCTAAGTTTAATCACAATCGTCATGGGAGTCTAAGACTGGGGGAATTCTGAAAGAATTGCTGGTGATGTTATGAGTTCCTAGAACGCACACGTCTAGATCATTTCATGACCTGAAATATATTTGAGACAAGTTACAAAGCAGGCTCAGGACACTCCTGTATCTTCCCAATGTCATGAAATGAAAGGATAGCCTGGGCAGCATTCTGTCAGTCTGTTTGTTAGGACAGTTAAACTGAACATAATAAAGGGGTTGGGGGGCTGGGAAGTTGGCTCAGTGGTAGAGCGCTTGCCTTGCATGCCTGAGGCCCTGGGTTCAATTCCTCAACACCACATAAGCAAAAAGAAAAAAGCCAGAAGTGGTGCTGTGGCTCAAGTGGTAGAGTGCTAGCCTTGAGCTGAAGAGCTGAGGGACAGTGCCCAGGCCCAGAGTTCAGGCCCCACGACTGGAACCTCCCCCAAAAATAAAATAAAATAAAGGGGTTGGGAAGATAGGTCAGTAGTAGAGTTTACCTAGCAGACCCCAGGCTCAGTCTCTAATACTGCAAACAGACCCAAAATAAAATTAATTAATTGAAATTTGAAAAAAGCAAAAAGACGTCATCTGGAAGACGGGCAAGAAGGTAGAGATTAATCTTGCTTCTTTGCAGTCCTTCTGCAAAGAAATTCCTTCTTGGATTAATTCATTTCCAGATATTAAGGCAGCCCAAGTTAGAAATCTCTACAGAAACCTCCAGGATTTTCTGTAAATTCCCTGTGTTCTTGAGGTGAACACACAAGGCAATCTGGAGTAAAGTTGGACCACTGAACTAAAAGGAAAATCATCATAGCTGGCCATTATTTAGTTATTAGTGAGTGCCAGCCACATGCACATTATTGTTATTCACTATCATTTAACCTTAATCACAAGCAGACAAGTGCTAATGTTATCCCCAGGATCAGGTGGAAAAGTGAGTTTAGAGGTAATATGCTCCAACTCAGCAAGTACAAACCAAGGCCAGATATCTAACCCC